GTGTCGGTCTCGTGGTATGTTGGTTTATTGGGTAGCTGGTCTCGTAGGTCGTCGGTCTCGTGGACTTTTGGTTTCGTTGGTTATTGGTCTCATGGGGCTTCGGTCTCGTGGTGTGTTGGTTTCGTGGGTTTTTTGTGTCATGGGGCTTCGGTCTCGTGGGTTGTCGGTCTCGTGGTTTGTTGGTCTCGTGGGTCTGTTTGTGTCGAGGGTTGTTCGTCTCGTCGGTTGTTGGTCTCGTGGTCTCGTGGTTTGTTGGTCTCGTGGGCTGTTTGTCTCGTAGGTTTGTTGGTCTTATTAATGTAATCTGAAAAGCTATTAGCTAAGCTGAACTGACAAAAATAAAGTTTTGTATGGACGCACACATGTGCATGAATAAATACAAGACCGAAGACGCAGTGACATAAACATCTGTTGACGAAATTCGTTACGAATATAAACACTTTTCGGATATTTGCCCTAATTCTTTTTTAGGGGGGAAATAAAAGTGAGGATCATAATTAAATGATTGGCTTGACACCTATCTTACAACCGTTGTAAATGTGTCATCGAATTTCACTGAAAGTTTCTGAATATCTCAATAAAGTTCATATAACCTTTGGACCTGTTTGCCGAAAATACAATATGACTGCACACAGTTGTAGGCATGATATTTATATTATTTATTATATTCTACTGGATTCTGTTTCTTTTCTTCAAACATAACTTTTACAGGAATGTGACACAGACTTTGTAATATATATTTCCAAACGTGTATACAATAGTAAAAATCATTAATTAGATACGTGATATCAAACCACGGTTAAACCAAACAGGCTAGTTATAGTCTGATACATTAACTAACATTTAAAGAAGAAAGTATTAAAATGTGTCTCTCGTACTGGATTGTTTATTTTTGTATTGATTAATAATAGAAGTGTAGGCAATGTTTACAAAATTATTTTCACAAATGCATTAAGTTTACTATTATATGGTGTATCTAGCATTGGGTAAAGTAGGCAAACAATCCCCCCTAAAAAAAAAACCTAAAACATAATTACTTATACAGTGGGTGGACAACACGCAAGCAATAACCAGACATACTTCCGCCCCTCCCCCCACCCGCCCCCTTTCCTGACGGACCTGCCCCATGTTAATCGATGTCTGTATACGCCAATATCATTCCCAAGCAGCAGAAGAGATCAGTCGACTCTCTTTTTAATATGTTTCCTATTTACATGATAAGGTACCCAGTACCCCCAAGTGACATAATTGATTTCCGATGAGGAAATGCGATCAGTTTGTATCACGATCGCGTCAGTGTTTAAAAGGGCATTCCAATTGTCTTAGATTCTTCTGTCAGACAATGGTAACCCGACACATGCTCCGCCGACGATTGCTCCGCCGACATTTACTCCGCAAAACGCGACAACTGCTCCGCGACATTTGCTCCGCGACATTTGCTCCGACGTCAAATGCTCCGCCGACAGTTGCTCCGCCGACAGTTGCTCCGCCGACAGTTGCTCCGCCGACAGTTGCTCCGCCGACAATTGCTCGGCCGACAGATGCTCCGCCGACAATTGCTCCGCCGACAATTGCTTCGCCGACAATTGCTCCGCCGTCAATTGCTCCGCAAAACGCGACAATTGCTCCGCCGACATTTGCTCCGCCGACATTTGCTCCGCCTGAAGCGACACTTGCTCCGCCGACATTTGCTCCGCCGACAATTGCTCCGCCGACAATTGCTCCGCCTGAAGCGACAATTGCTCCGCCGACATTTGCTCCGCCTAAAGCGACAATTGCTCCGCCGACATTTGCTCCGCCGACAATTGCTCCGCCTGAAGCGACAATTGCTCCGCCGACATTTGCTCCGCCGACATTTGCTCCACCGACATTTGCTCCGCCGACAATTGCTCCGCCTGAAGCGACAATTGCTCCGCCGACATTTGCTCCGACGACATTTGCTCCGCCCAAAAAGTGTCCCATAAACTACAAATGCTACTAGTACTACGACAAATGCTTCGCCGACAATATTTTCTTTACACCTATTTTTTTCGTTTCTTTTTTCTCTTTTATTTTCTGAATGCATTTCTTGAAATAATGTAGATGAAATGAAATGAATGAATGTTGATGAAGTGGGAGGAAAAAGGAGTTACCTAAAAGTCATTTCGAATATACTGACATAACTTTCCATCTATCACTGTACGTCCCATATAATGTATACTAAACACTCATTACATGTCGTGGGAAGTTTTTAAAAAAAAGTAGAGCAGCAAGCCACATTCCCCAATACGCGCATACCTCCTAGTTAATTTCAAGTAGCTCATCAATATGTAATACCTGAAATTACCTCGATCAATGCATCTTACTAGGTAAAGCATTATACAATGTAATAGGTCATCATGGAAGTTTAGAAAATAAGTAAGGGGGATTTACCAAGTGTTGATCTTTTTAAGAGTTTTATAAAGAAACAAAAAGATATTGAATATTTCTCAGCGAAAAAAAAGGAACAAGCCTGTTTCGC